TTTTATGAAAAGAGCAAATCTAATAAGAATCCCAGCAACTCCCTACTGAGGCATGTGCTAGGAAGTGGAGGGATACAGAGGTGAGTTGGTTCAAGTTCCTTTGCAATAACAGACATGGCAAAGGAATATCCAGAAAGGAACTGGCAGGATGGCAAATGTATTCGGCAGCTCAAACAAGATCTGGCTATTGGATCTTTAACTTAACCATTATTTCTGCACTACCATGCCAACATGGTAGAAATATGCCAGGGCTATTGGCAGACATGCTAATGTCCTCCAAAATAATTGCCTCTTGAATAAGATCAAGGTATTAAATAGAGTTACATTTAAATAGAATACGTAGCTTGGCATTTGTGATGTGATCCAAGGGCAAGAATCCTTATTGCTTATCCAGTTATCCTGAACTTGTGCTGGGGTGAAACAAAAGCCTCTCCTGCACGTGGAGGAAATTAAAGGAGTTGAATGAGAAATTCCTCTGATGAGCAGTGAGTGATGGTGCCTGTGGCAGGATGCATGGGGGGACTGTGCTAGATTAACTGTTGCTGTGGAGTGGGGTGACATCTCTCCTGGTTCCCTACTTATTTCTGTGGCTCTAAGCTTGCTGGGAATCGTTTTAAATTCCCCTCCAAGGTCTGGCTCTTGGCAGTTCTCGCTGTTCCTGAGCTTCCTGATCCCTAAGCAACAGCTCCCTTAGAGAAGTCCTTTCCTTTGTTCCCACTTAGTTTTCTGCTTTGCTGATGTGCAGCTTCCTTTCCTTCCAGGTAGGAGCTCTTTGTTGGTTTGGATAGCTTCAGATTTCGTTTGTCTTGATGCCTACGTGATCTGGATTTTATCAGTGCTGCCACTGGATCTAGGATACATTTTTAGTTCATAACAGGTATTAGGCCAGTTTCTTTACTCTGAGCTGTGCCTTGTGTCATGCTGTGGTACAAAGGCTATTTCAAGGCATCTTAAGCCACCAGCTCAAAGAGGAATTCGGAGAGGATGACCCAGAGAAAACATAGGTGATGAGCAGGAGTCATTTCATAATCTTTTAGGCAGCAGTGCCATGGAGCTGCCCATGCTCTGGTGCATAGACAGGTGCTGGGTCATGTGATTGTTTCAGTCAGAAAATCAGATTCACTATCTCTACACTGTTTATAAGTTATAGTGACCATGGATTGTGTAGCTGAGAATCTAGCTCTGAGGTCCAGAGTGTCCTGAGCTGCATCCTGTAATGTAAGAGTGAAAAGCAGGGCCCCCAAACCCAGAATGAGATTGAAGCATCCAGCTCCAGGCTCAAGTCAGTTCCCAGGCTGAAACATATGGAAGAATGGATCAGGGCCCCAAACCAGCATGTGCCACAGCAGCTCACAGTGTTTGCCTGGGGGAAGCACCAAGGAGATGTTCTGGGCTCCACAGTACAAGAGGGATGTGGAGCTGCTGGAGAGAGTCCAGCGCAGGGCTACAAGGATGATCAGGGGCCTGGAACATCTGCCCTATGAGGAGAGGCTGAGGGAGCTGGGCCTGTTCAGCCTGGAGAAGAGAAGGCTGAGAGGGGACCTGACCAGTGTCTATAAGTACCTCAAGGGAGGCAGTGAGGAAGATGGTGCTGGCCTCTTTTCACTGGTGGCCACCAGTGTAACTAGAGGTAATGGCCACAAACTGAAGCACCAAAAGTTTCACAGGAACTTAAGGAATTTTTTTTTAACTGTGAGGGTGAGAGAGCACTAGAACAGGCTGCCCAGAGAGGTTGTGGAGTCTCCTTCTCTGGAGATCTTCAAAACCTGCTTGGACGCAGTCCTGTGCCACGTGCTCTAGGTGACCCTGCGTGTGCAGGGGGGTTGGACTAGATGATCTCTAGAGGTCCCTTCCAACCTTAAGCATTCTATGATTCTGTGGTTCACATGCTTCTGCTCTTGGTTTCTCCCTAACCCCTCTTGGGTCCCTGCGGTTGGGAATGCCCTTCATGGGGTTCCTGGTTGGAGCTGGCCGGAGTGGCCTGTGCTGTGCTGCTCTCCTCATGCTCCCTCCCCAGTGCCCGGCATCACCTTAGCGGCAGCACCTGGGAAATCTCTAGCTCCTGAATACATAGTTATCCCCAAATGGGAAGTTAAGACTTGATTCTGTGCTGTTCAGTCCTGTGGTTGTGTCCTGGAAAGT